CATGCACAATGGCAGCACCCTGACTCTGTTTGACTTGAATGGATTGGAACCTTAATTAGTACCAATGCGTCAACCAGGGTTTAGCCTACTATTTCATGTCAAAATGGCTGCTGCGAAAAAGGTCTATTATGTATTTATAAGGTAAATTCTAGAAACATGAGGCTTTCACATGTTATGGTTTGAATTTCTTTTAGCACTCTTACCTCACTTTGTTGTTCACAAACGTTGGTTTCCCGCTCACAGGCACGTACGGACGCTCACACAGAGAACATGACCTGTTAAATGCGCCTCTCTTCGCTGAATGGAAAAAGAAGAGCCCAAAAAGACTGCGCGAGTTTATAAATGCAACATGGAGCGGGAGACAAAGACAGGCTGAAAGGCAGACAGGTGTTATGTGAAATTATAGGCTCCCTTCTCTCTGTGTGGTTGTGAATTTCACTCTGCTCTTTCACTTCTCTCTGGCCTCACCTCTCTCAACATCCATCTGTAATCCTCTCATTTTTCCTGCCCACTCCTCCACCACTTTCTCTCTCTCTCTCTGCCCACCTTCTCGCTCTGCGTGCGCGGTGTATGCGTGTGTGTGTGTTAAAGGGATGATCTTTTGATGCCCTCAGTGTGTATGAGTGCTTTGTCTCTCTACTTTCAGCGGTTGGCCATTGTGTTTGCAGCCGTCATACTGCTCTCCCACTCACTCCATCAGAAACCAGGCCTGTGTAGGGGCCTAAATGAATATTGATTCTCCCTCCAGTGCTGAATACTGCTGGGGGAAAAAGACGAGTGTGTTGTGTGCAATGAACAGAATGGGCCTGATGGGGGGAGAGAAGAGAGTATGACGATTAAGATGACGGTGATCATGATGACGATAATGATAATGGTGATGATAATGACTCTGTTAGCGATCAGCAAGCATGATGGCAGTCATCAGCTGATGCATGTATGTGCATGTTGCTTGTTCGATGGCGCTGCACATGTAATCGCAGTATCGATGCTGAAATGTGAGTTTCATGTGACAATTGACAGCAAATACTATTAAGAAAGACATCTGGATACAGTTGTTAAAAATGAAGCTCAGTCTTTATTGTTAGAAATGAAATTGCATTAATTGTTTTAGAGGTTTCCCAACAGCTGAACTTGCAAACAGCTGAGGGCTTGTCAAAAAACTGACATGTATAATTATCAACTCTATTTTGTTACATATAAATCATCTGAAGGTTTTGGAATTTTTTAAAAAAAACCATCAGCTTATAGTTTCACAAATGATAATATATATGGAAAGAAATGAATAAACCTTTGTGTCATATGACGTGAGCAAAATTCTAACACCACAAACAAAACTTGAAATAATATTAAACAGTAGTAGTATTAAGAAAAAAAAGCATTTGCGGGAAAACCATTGTTACCACTACAGAGCAGAATACACATTTTCTTTTGTAATGAATCATTTTACTCTCAGCATGTTAGATGCATTTTTAAAAAATATTTCAGGAGGAAATATAATCATTTCCATAAGTTGCATGGCATCGATCAAGAGGTTTGTGTAGTCTTGGTGGTTGTAAGGATTGCAAGTTAACTCACTTAGCACCAAAACCTCTTTCACCGTCTCTCTAAATAAATGATGTTTAACCTGAGTTTAGAATAGCCCAAGAGAGGATAGTAAAAAGCTGAATACAGAATGATGTAAAAAAAAAAAAAAAAATAGATAAAAAATCAAACTGGGTAAAATTAAATAGGACAAGGGAAAAGGAAAACTGTAGGAGATTTACTGGCAAACATTTGGCCTAATGCAGCCTTTAACAGAATTAAAAAACTGAAATGAAACAATAAATGTACCTCTTTTAGTAAATCTCTCTCTCCTCTACCCTTCCAGAACTATATTATGAGGAGATTCATCCAGATAGACCACCATCTCTTCTCCAGCCTGCTGCTCTGTCTGCTGCACCTCCCCATCGCCTGCCCCGGCCTCTCCGTACACGCCTCCCTCCACCTGCAAGGTGCAGTTGTCCAGCTCTGTCACAATGTAATGGGTTCCTTCATCATTAACGATAACCTGGGTTAGACCTTCCTTCATCATCTGGGACGCGGCAAGCTGCAGCACCTCCTGCATCTCCTCCTGGCCGGCCTCCTGGATGACCTGCACCTCCTGTTCCTCTTTAATGTTCGGGTGCGATCCCCTCCGCGCAGCCTCGGCTATCTCCGGTGTCAAGACCTCATGAACGACGGCAGCCTCTCCTTGCATTTCCTCCTGATGGCCCATTTCGCTGACGGCGCTGAGCAGAGCGTCCAGAGCTGTGGACGACTCGGAAACAATGTGACTTTGTCCTGAGGCTGCGACCCCTCCTCTAGCTATGGCCCGCAACCCTTTCCTGGCCTCCCCCGACTCCAGCACCACATACTGGGTGCTGCCTCCAGCCAGGTGGGCCCCCGCGGATGCTACCTCCCTGCCCGAGGCAATAACTTGTCCGTCTTCGGTGATGTGGAGCACCTCTGCCACCTGGCCGGCCATAGCCAGCGTCTGCAAGGTGGCAGCAGCTGACTCCTCCAGGGCCTGGTCGATGGCCACCTCCCCGTCGCCGTAGCCCTGGATGATGATGACCTGCTGGACAGAATCATCCAGGCTGGATGCATCAGATGAACCTTTCTTGCTGACGGGGGAGTCCATGGCTTCCGATTCCACAAACGTAGCCCCCTGACCCTTCAGACGACACTCGAAAGACTTGGACACGATACCTGAGGAACACAGAGACACATTTGAAGTTACTTTGCTGACACTGGTATTCAATTCCTACATTGGTAAAACATTTAACCAAAACTGAGAAGAACAGTGAAAACTTTGAAGCACTTGAAATCTTCCTTTGGCCATGACATGTGTTATAACAACAAAACACAGGGAGAAAAGACAACAGGAGCCAAAATCAGAGATAGAAGTGATATTTTGGTGTTTAATAGAATAGAATCAGAATATAAAAAGCTAATAATTCAGTGGCAAGAGGATCAGGATCACATCCAAAAGAACAAAAATAGGCATAGCAATTACTGCACCTACAGTATCACACATGGCCGGTCATATTCTCTCTAATGTTCTCTGTTACCACAACTGTTGAACTTGCTATGTTTATGCACCAATCACTGAGAAAAAGGGAAAAAGCTATAAGGAAAGCTAAGTTGATATAAAAGGTGATGTAACACTTCACATATTTGTGTCACTTAATGCATGAAAGGAGACAGAATATGGAGATATTAGGCTGGCGGACGAGTGCGGTGAGATACGGCTGGTGCTAATTGAGCCACACTGTGCCCTCTCAGATCACAGGTTGCCATGGCGTCTCCAAGGTGATAGGAACAGTGTTAGAAATCCCATTGTTTAAACAGCGCCTGGCTCAGACACTTGTAGGCTAATCTATGCAGAAAAATGGGAAGTTGAGACAGTGAGGCAGGGACTCTGTTCACGCCTTGGCTTCCAAACACAGATGAACTTATTGTACAAATACAGAAAGCACACTATTATTGTCGCAGGAAGAGTACATTTACCCTAATTTGCAATGTTTTAGTTTCTCCTGAAGGTTTACACTTTGTAGAAAGTTTGTAGATTCTACAACCCTGTAGGCTTATGAAAGACTTTGAAATTCCAGAAACTCTCTTCCTTTTTTAGGAAATAAGAAAAAAAACTTTATTGTTTTTTGCTCAGTTCTTGAAAACCTGACATTTTGGAGGTACAAGGTTTACCCCCAAGGGTAGTGATGAGATCACACAGATCTCACAGTACATACAGGAACAAACTCATCAATCATTGATATTCCTATGTCCCCCAGACATTTAATGTCCTGCACTCACAAGGTTGACAATGTGATCAGAAAGTCAGAGTTGTGCTGCAAACAGTGTCTGACCCAACAGTGCCCTGTCCTCCTCCAGTGTAAACAGACACAGAGATGTGCTGGCTTCAACTCTTGCTCTTTTTGGACAAGTAGGCAGTGACCACTAAGTCCTTTGGTGACAGAAAGTCTGTTAATTCTGCACAGATACACTCAAAATGGACTATCAAGAATCACTGGAGGAAACAGTGAACACTTTATGCCTTAAGCGTGGAACACACCTATTGTTCTTAATGACTGAAAGCGAAGTTAAAGGTGTTAAAGCTGTGTGTCAGGGACTTAAAAGCAGCTCCCAGGTTCAGCTAAGAACTCGGTTTTAAAGCATTCAAGATAAAAATATAGTCTTTTCTATCAACACATGCATCCACTGAGGCTTCCTGTCTGTTTCAGGTCTTTAAAGAAATATTCAGATTTCTCATTTTCATTGTTGACCTTGGGGTGAAGAGTGCAAAAGATGGCTTATCTCGGTGCCTCCGATATATAAATCTGTCATGTGCAAATGTTCACACTTTAGCATACAGTATGACAAATCATCAAAAACTGGCATTATCCTTAAAGTGAGAAGATGAGAACTTGTTGCAGCTCTAAGGCTGGATGATTAGTTATTTTAATGACATCCGCACACATACACCCACATCTGTCTACACCTGCCAGGTTTATTTTAGGGAGTAGCTAAAAAAGAACAGTGGACAAAAGACAAAGGACATTTCAACAATCTCCTCTCACAAAGACTTGTTTGATTTATGCAGAAAAGGAGAGGAGTTAGCCAGTGTTTTCTGCTGTTGAATCATAATGGACTTAACAAATGATAGAGAATTTACAAATCTACATGTCACAGAACAAAAGCTGACATTGGGAGAGTCAAGAGAGAGTGTAGTCTTTTAAGTGTAGATGGACAGGGTAATTTTGTAAGGATAAAGCTGTCTGCACTTTTCCACTCAGAAGATTTTTCTCTTAGTATGTTTTCATACCTGGTAAGACCAGTTACTACAAACTATGGAGGCACTTCCTGTTAGAGTAAAGGACAACCGGGCAATCCGACCTGAGCTTTATAAGAGGGAGGTTTCTTGGTACTCTGGGGTTTTGTTTAGAATACCATCAGGGCTACATTTTACATTATAGCTGAAATATGCAATTTTGCATATAAAGTGCACAACTCCCTGATTCTGACCAACAGAGTAAGACTTTAGGCCTCTCTTACGCTATGAGTCTTTATTTATCTCCACAGATCTGTTGTATATCTCTCTCTCCTTATTCATGTAGTAGAAGAGAACAATGTGCATTTATTTAAAGGCAAACAAACAAAAAAATTCACTGTGACGCCGCAGTACACGGGCAACAAGTCTGTGTAGTAAATATCAATTCGGACTGTACTATTTGTATCTCAAGTGACAAGCACGGTAGTTAGTGTGTGGAGGGAGTCAGCACTGTCGAAGACAGCCAGAGGAAGTTGGCATTTTGAGCAGCAGAGGTTACCTTTTTACACAGAGCTACAGGGCCGATGCTAACTGCCTACGCCAAAACGCTGCGAGCTGAGAGGTCGGCTGGAGAGGACAATAACTCAGTGGTTGTGCGGTTTCTGCTGCATTACCATAAAACCTGTTTATATCTGTGTGTGTGTGTGTTTAAGAGAGAGAGAGGGCATATTAGTGTGAGAACTCTTGACTGTATATGTATGTTCAGCTTGGTACAGCTTAGTTTTGCCAGTTTGTGCCAAATATGTGTTAATGCATGTATGTATTATGATTACCTGAAATCATTCAGTAAGTGGGTGGCATGTTAAGGTCAGGCTTTACTGGTGTGTGTCTGTACAATATGTGCTACTCTGTGTATTTGTATGTATATGCCCATCCCTGCTAGATCTTACTTATATACACACACACACACACATATATATATTTGAATATATGTATGTGTATATATATATATATACATACATACATACATACGCACATAGTATATACGTGTGTGTGTGTGTGTGTGTGTGCGTGTGCTGTGCTGTGGGGGTGGTAAGGCTATGCGTTGGTAGTGTGTATCACATTAGCCATGGGGTGCTGTCGGCGGGGCCCAGCGGCGGCCCGCTGAGGTTTATGGAGTGTCACTCAGTCGCCGCAGCCGTGAATCAAGTTAATGTTGCAGATCCCATCTCTTCAGTTGTCCTGCGCTCCCGGTGGAAGAACAACATTTGAACAGCGTGATTTGGCCCTGGCGAGAGGCTGATGCCTGTTTAATATGTGTTTTGAGTGTTCTGACTGACTGATTCCTTTAACAGGAAGTAGGAGAGAGGATGAGAGAGAGAGAAAGAACGAGAGAGAGACAGGCTGCTTTATTGCCTGTGATCTGAAACAAGATGGAGGCTCCCTGAGAGGAATAAAACAGGAGGAAGTATAGGATGCAGAGATGGGCGGTGATGTCATTTTGATTTCCTGATGACAGAACTGTCTGAAGAAAAGTCTTACTGTAAAACTGAATCAGTGACTGATAATAAACGTGTACATAGCTCATAATGTATGTGGGGGAATTTCACTTATTATATAAACTTTATGAATACTAATTTTCAGATTTGAACATCCTGAAGAAGTATGTGTATGCCATTTTATTTCTCTATCCAGATGACTGGTTAATGTGAGAATTTGTAGAGAAAACAGCAACATAAGAGACAAAGAGTCAGAGGGGAAAAAGAGAATGAGATGAGTGGAAGGGACAGAGAGAAACAGGACAGCAACAAATGACACAGAAAATAAAATATTGTAGTTGCATTCTACACCATTTGTGTGGTGTGACTGTGTGCCTTAAACCAGTCAGTGTGTTAGCGTCAGGTCAGTGCGGGAGCCTGCCTGCTCAGTGTACGGTACAGATGCGATTATTGATCAGCGGATCAATGGGCTGGCCAGTGGCGGGGGCCCAGGGCCTCTAAGTGGCATTACTTCAGCTCGGAGAGGCCGCCAGGGGAGCGGTCAGACAGCACTTACCAGCAGTTAGAGAAATTAACCTTAACACCGAGACACCAGCACACACAATCAATTACACTCGCTGTAACACAGGTCAGCTTGCTGCAAATGTAAACTCACTTGCCCATGCACATGTAATCAGGCGAGCGCACATAAGCGCCCACACCTTAGTCTTGTTATACTTGTGAGGACACTGCACTGGTTGTAATCCCTAAATCTAAACTTACCTAAATGTACCCCGCACAAAATCCTAACTGGTTCTCATGAGGAAGAACACGGAAATACAACGAAAGAGCTGAAAGACAAAGAACACAGCCTGAACAGACACACTACAGCAAGCAGAGTCAATTATTCTATATCAAACCAAACACAGGAGAGGAGAAAAAAAGAAAAACTTGCTCACCAAATCAATTACAAGGTCAGTGGCAGGACCATGAAAAAGCCAGAGCTTATGATCAATTCTTAACTACAGCACAAAACCCTTTACAATGCTTTTACCAGCCGATTACCTTCAATTATAGATATGAAGCCGGTGCCTTAAAAAGAACATGATGGAGACCCCTAAACCTGACACACATATGGCTGTTATTTGTGGGGGGATTTTTACAGACGAGGTGGTATGTGTGTGTGTTTGTGTGTGCAGGCTTTTGAAGGTGACACTGCTAAGTAGATAAAGTGTCAGTTCTGGGTGTATCCAGGTCACTGGGGAAGGCCTGCATTTGAGTGTGTGTATGACTGTGTGTTTTCTAGTGTTTCTAGTTTATATGTATCTGTGTGTGTATTTTAATGTATATAAATGTATATACATTTCTACATATATTTATATATACATAATACATACAAATGCCTGTATTCAATTATTTTCTTTATGACACTTTATTTTTATTTTCATTTGTTTTGCATTATT